CCCGCCGCCACGGAACCGGGCCCTGGGGGTAACTCCGCCCCCCGAAGCACAACGTGGCTGCATCAATCACGTTGGGGGCGTGGCCCCGATCGATCGGGGCCACGCCTTCAACGTGATCGACGTCACGCGTCACTTCCGGTGACGTGCTGGCGGCACGAGCGCGCACACATCAACAGACGGCGCCGGCGAGGCTCCCCCGCCGGTAAGAAAAATTGACTCGGCAACCCTAGGGGAGAGGTGGTCCTGAAGGTATGCCGGCACCTGTCCATATAGGGCTTTAAAGGTAAGCACCAGCACCTTGAAATGGATTCTGGCAAAAGGAGCATTGAGTCTCAAAAACTTCGACCCCAAATATCTTGTTGGTCTCTAAGGCACTACTGGACTTGAATCTGGCTCTTCCACTGCAGACCAACATGTCTCCCCTACTGACTTTTGTGTAACAGAAGACTATCTTTTGTCTGCATCAAACAACCATGGGCAGCCAGAACTTAAAACATTCTACCTCTGATAGGTATTTGCTGAGTTAACCGATAACAGGATGAAGCAGATGTAGGGTCAGGACATCTTTATCAGATCTGTTTTGTTTTTTTTTGTTTTTATGGATATGGACTTATAAAATACACTGCTGAATTATCCTATTCTCACATCAACTGCCTCTAGTCTTTGAGCTCTCCTCTCGCCCTGTTGACTCATTCGTTAGCTTTTCAGAAAAGAAATCAAGAAATATAAATGCTAAGGGTCAGATCCTCTGCTGATAGTACATTGCCAAAAATAGCAATAGAGCTTTACGGTTAGATAAGAAGATCAAATCAGTCAATCCTAAAAGAAATCAACCCTGACTGTTCCCTGGAAGGCCAGATAATGAAACTGAAGCTCAAATACTTTGGCCACCCAATGAGAAGGGAGCACTCACTGGAGAAGACCCTGATGCTGGGAAAGACTGAAGGTAAAAGAAGATGGGGACGGCAGAGGATGAGATGGTTGGACAGTGTCATCGATGCAACGAACATGAAATTGAGCAAACTTCAGAGGACGGCGGAAGACCGGAAGGCCTGGCGGGAGCTGGTCCATGGGGGCGCGAAGAGTCGGACTCGACTGTGCGACTGAACAACAACAACAGTAGCCCATGGATAGAGAGAAGCTCTCTAATTCTTGACAAAGGATAATCAACCTACATCAGCTTGGCTTCCATTGAAACAAGTAATGAGTTTTGTCATTTTCTTTCTTTCTTTTTTTTTAAAAAAGACTTCTTCATACCCTTCTCTTCAGTCTCTCTCTCTCCTTCAGTGTCAACGTGTCTGCCTTGGCGATTACGGGAACAATGTTGACTTTTCCATGAAGGGCTTTCATAAATTCCACATCCAAAGGCTTCAACCTACACAAATGATCAAAAGTTAATTTCCCAATGAAATATTGCCTGGATGCAAAGAGCACCTTTTTCGAGCAGAGGGGCCCCTTCGAATCCAATCTTGTACATCTAGCACCGTAAGAATAATCCAAATGGGACAGTATCAGGTCACAGACCTGTACTATATAAGATTTGAATTATTTGTTGTGTGGTCATTCAGCTTCCCACATCCACACAAAGACTTCAGCTAATCGTCAATTTAATATGCACCCCTGAGAAGTTTAATATTAAATCCCTTCTGAAAGGCAGAAAAAAATTATCAAAAAGCAAAACAAAAAGCAGCCATTAATCCCAAAAGATGATTTTAATTGAGTTGGCTAACCAACAATGTGGAAAGTAGCTCTGTTTTAATTCCTGGCACAAAGTCACCAAGCACATTTTTTGCAGGGTGAAGAATGTCTACCCAGAAAACGAAAGCCTCCTTTTTCGTACCCATGTCCAAAGGGGGATATGAAGTAAAAACAGCAGTGGACTCTGTTGTCTACAATATGGCGCCTGTTGAGGCCGCTCTCGTCATGAAGATACCTTTCAAACTGATTGTCGATGTAATGGATAATCGTCTTGAAACTGCAGTACAGGAAGGAAGAGGGAGAAAAGGGAATTGGTGAGGAAAGTCAGGTATTCAGTTTAGGCATTTGTGAGAAATGTAGCTTCCCCTTATTGTGCTGGTCAAGGAAGGAAGCACTTCTTGGTCAGTAAAGAAACACTGTCCCTCTCTTCCTTTAAAATCTCTCCCCCAAACCCACCTCCTTTGGCTTAACCCTTTAGTCCTTCAACCCCAAGTGAAACGAAGGCTATGAATGTGCCCAGATGCAGTTGTCCTAGATGGGGGGCTGTGGCTCAGTGGTAGATCAACTGATTTTTGCACAAAGAAAATCCCAGGTTCAATCCCTGGCATCTCTCATTCAAAGGACCAAGTTGTAGGTGATGTGAAAGGTTGTAGGTGATGTGAAAGCCCTCTGCCTGAGAATCTGCTGCTGCTAGACCAAGCAAACAGTTCGGACCCTGGGAGACCAATGGTCTGACTTGGTGTTCATTAAGCTTTTAATTCATTAAAGCTTTAATTTAAAGCTTAATTAGTTCATTAAGCTTTAATTTGCTCATTCCTCCCTATCCCTCAATTTAAGTACCAAGTTCTTGAATTTGGGACTTATCTTCTTTCCTTGTGTGACTCTGGAAAGGGCCACCTAAGTTGACAGCACTACAGAGAATGAATAGCAGGTTCTATGAAGACCTACCCATACGATTACCCAGACATGGATGGCCCAGGCTTCTCAGATTTCAGAAGCTAAGCAGGGTAGGCCCTGCTTAGTACTTGGACGGGAGACCACCAAGGAAGTCCAGGGTTGCTATGCAGAGGCACCTCCGAAACACTACAGGGTCACCAAAAGTCAGCTGCAACTTGACCGCATTTTCCATCTAACACCCATACAATTACTCCGATTCTAAACCAACCATTGTTGATTTCAGGGCAGGCCAGACTTCAGTTCAGAGAGATGCTCAATAGCACAGCAAGAAGACAGCAAGAATTTGACTTGCTCAACAGGTTTCCCCCCCACCTCAAGGGAAGAAAAGCTGACATACGACATGCTCAGGATGTTATCTTTATACTGCATTCTACTGCCTTTAGATACACATCTTGACAGTTACTTAGAAATTCTGCTTACATTTTAAAATGAAACACACCCCAAATGTTATCTGGCTCAATAAGAAGCAATTAGCCTTATAAAATTAGCTTCGTGATCTTTTTAGCTAGAGCATGTTTTCTGAGTTTGGGAGAACACAGGATAGTAGAAGAGGAGGACCAGCATTTACTGGCAAAGCATGGCACATAGTCATGCTTCAGATGTGGTTGCTCGACTCCCGGCTGATGCTTCTCCAGCCTACACAAATCCATAGGCTCGGCGCTTTAGACCATCCCACCCCCATCCACATGCCACTGTTTGTCACACAAATGTTCAAGGCTGCCTGCTTTGCCACAACCAAAATGTAACCTATTAATTGACAATCTGCTCTCAAATAAATCAGCACACAAGTGTTTTGTCAAGTCACGGCAATGGGGAAGTTCATCCTTTTTAGGATGTAATCCAGGAAGTTTTATTAGCAATTGGGCTGCTGTTTTTAGAACTGGGAAGAAGAAAGAAAATACGATAGTAGGGAAGTGTGAACATTGATCAGCTAGCTGGCATTTGGGTCTTTGTGTGATGCATCTGCAGGCTTCACACCACCGGGTACTGGGGGCGGGGGGGCTGGTGCTGTTCCTGCAGTCAGACAGCGTGCTTCCATCCTAAGGGTGACTAGGCATTTACAGGCTGTGCTCTGCCACGGAGGAGCAATTTTTAGTTGATTTTAATTGGTTTTAGCTCTTGTTTTAAATAGTTTTTTTATTCTTGCTCTTCTAATTGGTTTTCGTTCTCATTTTAAACAGCTTTTTAAGTTCTTTTCCCCTTACTTTTAACTTATGAAACATTTTAAATCCTTTTTTTCAATCCTTTTTTAAAAGCTCTTTTAAGTTATCTTAGTTGCCCTAATTTAATTTAGAGCTAACCAGCTGTATATTGATTATAGGGTACAGATTTATATTACTGAATTGGGTAAAAACAAGTACTGCCCATTTGAAGAGAATTTTAATATGAAATTAAAAAAGCAGACTAGATTACTTTTTAAGTAGTGCCTCTTCAGTTTCTTTAAAAATTAGGTTTGTTCCGAGGAGGAGGAGGAGGAGATTGGATTTATACCCCGCCCTTCACTACCCAAAGGTGTCTCAGAACAGCTTACAAACTCCTTTCCCTTCCCCTCCCCACAACAGACACCCTGTGAGGTAGGTGGGGCTGAGAGAGCTCTTGACAGAAACTGCTCTTCTTCAAGGACAGCTCTTATCAGAACTATGGCTTGCCCAAGGTCATCCAGACAGGTGCAAGTGGAGGAGTGGGGAATCAAACCTGGTTCTCCCTGATTAGAGTCCACACACTTAACCACTACACCGAATGGTGGAGGCGGAGGAACTTGACAGATTCATTATCTCAATGGGGAAAGATGATGAGGCTTCCATCCTAAGAATATAAGAAGAGCCCTGCCAGATCAAACCGGCAATCCATCTAGTCCAGCATCTTGTGTCCCGCAGCAGCCAACCTGGAAGGCCAACAGACGGGGCATAGAGGACAAAGCCTTTCCGTGAAGGTGTCTGTTAACCCTGATATTCTGCCTCTAGATGTGGAGGGTCCCTTTAGTCACCATGACTAGCAGCCACCAGTTAATGTGAAAAGGACAGCATCCAGAGACAAGTCTTCTGTCATGGCACCCGGCTTGCAGAATTCCTGCTTTGCATCTATCTACCTGGACCCTACTTTTTTTTAATTTTAAGCACCAGATGAAGATAACTATTTTGGTTTGCCAGGCTTCTGGTGACATCCTAAATACAAAAAACAACCACTGTGATAAACAGGCTACTGTACTTTATTCTGGTAAAACTACGTACAAATTTCACAATCATCATTAACATGGAAAAAATGACAACCATTAAAAGAGAAGAAGAAGAAAAGAGATGGGATTTATACCCCGCCCTTCACTCAAGAGTCTCAGAGCGGCTTACAAACTCCTTTCCCTTCCCCTCCCCTCAACAGACACCCTGTGTGGTAGGTGGGGCTGAGAGAACTCTGACAGAAACTGCTCTTTTTTTCAAGGACAGCTCTTGTCAGAACTATGGCTTGCCCAAGGTCATCCAGCAGCTGCAAGTGGAGGAGTGGGGAATGAAACCTGGTTCTCCCAGATTAGAGTCCGCACACTTAACCACTACACTATTTTCAAAGGAGCTCGTTCTTGTGTTATTATAAAACAATTCATGCTCACACTGTGATCCCATTTATTGGTTTTTTAGGCTTCTGGTGATAGCATTTCTTGTTTTTATCATTTTTGTTTGCTATGAGGTGAACACGGGTACTACAAGGCCTTCAGTCCATTTCCACTGTTGTGCTGAGGTGCTTCTGCTGCTGGAATTTTAATATCGCCAATCTCTATAATTAAAATCTATTGCATGCTTTTATTGTGTTTTTTAGCATCAGATTGCAACAGTGTTCCCTCTAAACTGAGTTGGTGTGAGCTAGCTCACAGTTTTTTAGCCTCCAGCTCACACATTTTTGTCTTAGCTTGGGGAGGATGGCTCCAGAGCAAACTAATTTATGTAGTAGCCAAATTGCTCATTCACAACTTTAATGCCAGTAGCTCACAAGGTGGAATTTTTGCTCACAAGACTCCACAGCTTAGAAGGAGCATTGATTGCAAGCCATCACTCCCCCCCCTTTATTTGTTATAAGGCTAGATAAGTCTTTCCACACAGATAAAAATAAAACCATTCAGTGCAAGTGCGGAGGAAGCTTCCCACCCAAGTGACGAGACTTTCGAATCCCTGACTAATCCTGAGTCATCTGCTTTCTAAAGCTCACAAGCAACAAAACAGACATCTGGGGGGGGGATCCTCATTAGGGTGATTAACCTCACTACATTCTATATTTATGATTAGTTGAATTTTTTCAGTGCTTAATCAGAGCTCAGATATTTGGACAGTATTTTCACCTAAAGCTTTTAGGTGACAGCCAGCGTGGTGTAGTAGTTAAGAGTGGTGGACTCTAATCTGGGAGAACCGGGTTTGATTCCCCACTCCTCCACATGCAGCTGCTGGGTGACCTTGGGTCAGTCACAGTTCTCTCAGAGCTCTCTGAACCCCACCTACCTCACAGGGTGACTTGTTGTGGGGAAAGGAAGGGGCGGTGATTGTAAGCCACTCTGAGACTCCTTCGGGTAGTGAAAAATGGGGTATAAAAACCAACTCTTCTTCTTCTTTTAGGACAGTGGTTGCAACCCACAAAAGACTGAACTGTGCCAGGGGCAGAGCTTCTGCCTCACCTCCTAATTCAGCAAGGATTATGAAACAGTTTGGCAATGAAGGAGGGAAAGGGGGTATTTAAGTGCGATCAGAAGGTGAAACTCCAGCATGATATGCTTTCTGCTTAGCAACATTTATACAACACTGTTCAAAGCACCTCTCTGTTATTCAAAGCACCTCTGCTGCAGTCTTGCAAAGTAGACCAGTATTATTATCCTGGTATTGTGGATGTATTGTACCCCTGACCTGGATAGCCCAGGCTAGCCCGATCTTGTCAGATCTCAGAAGCCAAGTAGGGTTGGCCCATGTTAGTATTTGGATGGGAGACCACCCAGGACGTCCAGGGTGGCAAGGCAGAGGCAGGCAAGGCCAAACCACCTCTGAAGTCTCCTGCTCTGAAAACCCTAAAGGGTAGCCATAAGTCGGCTGCAACTTGACGGCAAAAAAAAAAATTGTAGGTGGCGGTGTAAGACTGAGAGAGCATGGCTTTCTCGTTTTTTAAAATTAAAATTTAAGCAACGTACATAAAATGAAAAACAGAAAACAAAATAAAAAACAAAGAAACGAGAAATATGAGGAAAGTAAGGGAACATCTTTTCATTTTCATCTACGACTGGTACAACTTAATTTACTCTAATCACCCTCTCTATAAGTACCTTACTAAAACCTCTCCCTTACCTATCAC